GTCATACAAAGCCATATGCAATCCCATCAGGGAACTGACTTAATTTTGGGTCGTGATGGTTATATTTAAAAAAAAATCCTTGTCACTTACAGACATACTGAAGTGTTTCCAGGTGAAATAACATGTTGGCTGAGACTTGCTTAAAACAATCCAGCAAAAGAGGGAATAGATGAGACAAGACTAACAATGTGTTGGTGATGGAAACTAAGTGATGGGTGGGTACATGGGGGTTCATTTTTTTTTTTTAAAGATACAAATGGCCCCGGACAGGTGGCTCAGTTGGCTGGAGCGTCATCCTGTACACCAAAAGGCTGCAGGGGGTTCGAACCCCAGTCAGGGCGTGCACAGGAGGCAAGCCACAGATATTTCTCTCTCCCATCCATCTCTCTCTTTCTCCCTCTCCCTTCCTCTCTCTAAAATCAATAAAAATATATCCTTGGGTGAGGATTTTTTTAAAAAAGATACAAATGTAATGAGGTACAGAGAAGCAACAAAAAAGGCTCGTTTCACACAGTCCCCACATGGTCCTCTTCAACTCATCTGTGTTAACTCCCTGCGCCCTACCTTCATACCTGTCATTTAAAAGAAATGAAACCAAATATGTATTTAAAATGAGAAGAGGTATTACAACTGAAGAAAAAGTCAACTGTAGCACACACTGGGGGTGACCTGGCCACATTTTCTCAGCACTCGCTATCCCAACAAATGCTGCAGGTTCCTCCTGCAAGGACTTGTAACTCTCCACCCAAGGCCCATGCCTGGGAGTAGTGGGTGGAAATGTGGGGCGTTATGTCTCTGGGAGCCAGCCACCCTTAGGCGGGACAGGCAGAATATCTGGTTTGGTGGGAAAGGGCTAAAGTATTTCTCACACAGACTCCCAGAGTTACCCAGTAGGACTGAGCCCCAGTTGCCAACAGCAGCAACTTGCCCAATAACACCCCCTTTATCAGCTGCCTTTCCTTCTCTCTCACTTTCTTACCCCCCTTGTCATTCTAACATCTTCAGAGCAACACCTCCTCCTAGGGCCGCACCCTACGCCCTCAGATGTCGATGTGCTAATACATGAACCAAAAATATAATACTGACTAAGTAGACTCTTAAGTCAAAGAGATTTCACTGCATGTGCAAACTCTGATTCATTCATGAGGGCTGTCTGGACACTGAGGAGGACTCTTGGCTTAGCAGGAAAGTGTGCCACAGTTGATTAGAAAAGTCTGCCATATACAAGGGAGGGGGCAAGTGGTGATCTGCTTGGCATGTCCAGACATTACCTGAGGATTGTCAGTCGGACCTCAAAGCCTGGGGAATAATCCTCATAGTGGATGATCCTGGCAAAGATCACTGGGGTGATAAAATTGGCCAGCGTGATTACAATAGAAGGCAGGTACAATATCAAGAGGTTCTCTCCAAAAACCATCTTGTCAATTTCCTATGAAGATAATAAAACTGGTCAGGAGTATAATAAGGAAAGTTGTATCACAAATGAGTTGATTTTAAAAGAACTCAACTATGCGTATTAGGCTGTATACTTTCAACTTACACAGTGCTGGATGTCAATTATACCTTAATAAAACTGAGGGGGGACCTCATCTATACATGCTTATTAGCAAGCAAACAAAACATACATGTCATTCAACAAGGCCCTTAAACATAAGCCATCTCCTTCCTTAGGTGTTCAAATAGAGGAAACACGATCTAGCACCATACCAGAAGAAAAATGAGCTCCACTGGATTTATTTCGGTGAGGTATAACAAACAATCCATGTTTCCATATCAATGGGCAGTGTATTTTCAAGGCTGTAATAATGATTTAGAATACCATTCTCTCCTTCTTTAATAATAAATTAGTTAGCCACAAAATGGCTATTCAGGATAAAATGAAATTTCCCAGCCTCCCTTGTAGCTAGATACAGCCATCAGACTAAATCCTGGCCAAAAGAATGTAAGTGCAAGCTCCAGGTCATGACCTTGAAGGGAAAGAATGTGCCCTCCCCACCTCTTTCCCATTGGCTATAAGGTGAGCTATCAAGTACCATACAGAAGAGGGCCACACCCTAAGGACGGCACAGCCACAGGATGGAAGACATCTGGGCCCCTCGTGATTGCTTTCATGAAGCAGAACCACTAGACCAACTTGAGTTTTTAAAACCACTGTTATTTTCGGTAAACTGAGGCCTCTATTAGTAAGTAAAGGAGTTGAGGATTAAATCAGGCAGTCCAGGATTTAAATATTGTGAATTCCAGGGAGAGTTGGTACCCCAAATACTCTATCTTGGATGTTTTTTATTTGTCTTAGAAGTGGAAATTGGTCGCCTCTGATTTCTGGTTCTCTGTCATAACAGCCAAATTTCTACCCCCATATGTAAGACAAATGATGATGGTATCTGCCTCAGAGGTTTACAAGGCACTTAGCATACTGTCCCACCAGAGTAGAAGCTAAGCTGACTTTCAGGGAGTCCTTACTTTTTTCATGTGCTCCTGAGAGAATATAGTTGCTCTATAGATTGCATAAAAGCATGCTGCTAAAACGGCCAGAACAACACAGTTCAAAAACAGCCTCAAAGAGTAAATCCGTATGGTTTCTTCAGAGGTCCTTTCTGCTATTTTCTGCCGTATCCTTTCTTCCTCCAGATCTGCCTGAGGAGCAAAGAAAACTCATTTGTGAGCACGGGGGTGAAGGGATATTCAGGGGTGGAACCTCTGATTTAGCTTCATGCCCTATCCGTCTTTAAGACTTTCCTTAAATGCTCATCTTTCCCAAGATACCTTCCCAGATAAAGCCCAACTAGTTTTCGTGTCTATCAAACAACTAGGCCCAAGTCAAGGTAGAACCTTCTGTTTACGATTGCAGTAGAACCATTAACCTATTCATGACATTACTTACACATTATTTTTCAAAATGGCATATAAGGTGGGTGGGTGTTTGTTTTTTTAACTCAATCTGGTCTCTGCTTTTACTAGGAGAATTCAAACTCTTCATATTTAGTATAACAAATAACACATTTGATTAGATTTCTTCCCTCTTTATTAAGCTTTAATGTAATTGTCCCCTCCTCTTTTGGGGGGTTGGTCTGATCACGATGCTGTTTATTACTCCTCTCCTGATTAATTGAGAAGTTCTCCTCTACTTTACCATATCCACTCCACCTTATCACTGTAGCACTCCATCCTTAGTCCTCTCTCTCCTGGTGTAAGCGGTGTTTCTGAGAGAGTCTCGCGACGTGGAAAGATAACAGGGTGGCGGGGGAGGAGGGAAGGCACCACGTCCTTCCACTCACTGTTGCGTCCCCACTTGCCTTCCCAGCCCCAGTTTACCAGCTCCGTGCTGGGGCCGAAGGGGATCAACCCCAGGAAGCTGTTTTCTGCAGAAAGCTCTTGAAAACTACAAAGGGGAAACTTGCTGGCCCCCACCTGGCTCCTCTGCAAGCTGCAAACCCGCCTCCCAGGGCCTGGCCTCGCTGGCGAGGAAGCCACGAAGACAAAAGCCGGCAGCACTCACTCGGAGCTCGTACCGCAGGCTGCTGTGCTTCAGGCTCGCCATGCTTTGGTTGGTGATGCAGAAGTCCCAGCCGGCAAAGATCTTGTTGCAGTAACTCTGGAAGTGCTCCTCACTCCGGATCAGGTTGATTTTGAACCCCTCCACGGACCTGGCCCCAAAACACAATTATGCTTCTCATAAGAACAACAATGAAATACAGACTCAAGGGTTGGCTTTGTCTAGAATAAAACAGTTACACACGGCTGCATTTTCCACCCTTTTGGACATGGTCAAGTTCTGGACCATCCTAAATACATGTGGCAGCTAACCAGGAATCTCAGGGTTGAAAATCATTTCCTTTCATCCATCTAATGGCTCTTCTCACAGCTGGAATAAAATCCAAACTCTAACACAGCCTAGAGGTTCTATGTGATCCTGCATGATGCCATCTTTCTTCCCACATGGCCACAGTGGCTTTTTTTCCTTTTCATAAACACACAAACCTCTGCTCCTGCCTCAGGGCCTTTGCACTTGCAGTCCCTGCTACCCTCTCCTAGAAGAGTTCTTCCCCTGCCTCTTCCTATGGCTGCCTCCTTCCCATCTTTCAGGTTTCAGCTCAAATAACCCCTCCATGGATTCCCCACCACCCCATTTAAAATTGTGGCTCCCACTTCAAACTAGTCTCTTTCATTTCCTTCACAGCAATGAACCTAATCTGCAATCATCTTACTTACCTGTTTCCTGCTTATAGTCCCTGACTACATTTTAAATTCCTTTGAAGGTGGACATCCTGGCTGCCTCATTGCCTTTATATCCAGAATGTTTAGATATAATATAGCCACTCTCCAGCTAATGGATAAATGAATGAATAAACGACTTAAATAGTAAATTAATGCAATATTTAGTGAGCACCTGTTTCAATCAAATGCAACTCACACACCATAATTGTTATTCATTCAAATGCTTTCCCGGGGGAAAAAACATCCTGGCACTTAGCAATACAAATACATCAAATGCCACACACTGTAGATGAAATGGGGTGTTTTTAGGATTTTCCAGTGAATTGTGAAGACACTAAAAAGTCGAAGGAATTATAGAGATCAGTCATTCTGCCAAAGGTTCACAGCAAAGAATTTTTATCAGAACCATCTGGGTGCTTTTCCTAAATGCAGACTCCC